AAGCTTCCATGGCTTCTGTGATTTCAAACACATCAGCTGATGGTAGTTCCTTATGTTGGGATCAGTGTCTCTGAAGTATAGTCGCAATATTTATCGGTCAAAGGTGATGCATCCTGTAGAATTGCTATGTAGATAGGTTTTTCTTGGCCCGAGGGCCGGAATGGATGTCACGTGCTCCTGGTGTCTCCGATTACCTGGGAAGATAGATATGATTAAGATAACTTTTTAAAAAATTGAGATTGTATAAGAAAGATAACATGCTGGAATTTAGCGGAAAATTTATATCCAGATTTTACTTAACCCAGTGTGATTTTCTGGGTAAATAAGCTATTACTGAAGTGAAACCCTCACTAAGGGAGATCACAGAGGACTGCATTCCATGCTCACATTCCATTTTCATGAATTATCTGAATCCGTGGACTCGTAACTGTCATCAGAGTCTGCTTTTTACTGGCTTACCACAGCATGAGGGAATGAGCAACGAAATGGTGAATTCACTTAATAAAGACGAATTTTCTTTACTTTAGAGTCGTTTATTCCTGGATTATGTACTTTTGCTTACTTGATGTCAGAGCATCCTTTCTTTTTAAAGTGATGATTTAAACAAGAAAAATCCTTGAAGGGGGGTGGGAATTATTGACCTGTTTTAGATAACTACTTTTTTGAGATGATTTTACCAAACACTAAAATGTAAATGTTTAGGACACACTAGTTGAATTGTGAAGGTTGAAGGGTGACTTCGAAAGCATCAGAAGTTTAGTACGTAAGATTATCAGAGTTCTTCCGTCTAGATCATTAACACTGAAATACCAAATGTGTTTTGTTTAGCTGTATATATTGGTACAAAATAGTAATTTAGAATTTGTGGTCAAAGGCAAGATTCGTATACATGGTATATGAAAAACCTGTATTACTAAAAGAAAGGCCTATTTTCTTGACATACAGTATTTTCTGAGTTAATGCTATCACCAGCATACTATTTGGGAAAATGTATTTGGAGATAATGGGTACATTAGATTCATAACAACCTTACAGGGCTGAGGGAAATTTCTTTATTTGGATACTTTAGTGCTGAGCTGCTAAAGGTCTTTGGTTCAAATCCACCAACCATTCCACAGTAGAAGGGTAAGCCGTTAGCCTCTGTAGAGCCTTTTTAGTCTCAGAAACTCAGTGACAGGTAGCCCTCAGTCAGAATCCACTTATTTGTGATGGGTTTGGGTTTTTTCCTGCTGTTTAATCTATGAAGCCCATTACTACATCTTTTCCCCTTGGGATTACCATTAGGTTTGAACAACTGACCTTTTCGTCAGCATCTGAGCATTAGCCACTGCACCCCAGTGCTGCTAGATTCTCACTCAGAACCAACTGTACCTCTCCTTAGTTTCAGGATAACTAGTGCATGTGAATTTGAAGGTTTTTTTCCTATGTTAAGCTAAGTAGAAAGGAATATTAATATGAAATGTTAAAAAATATTCATGTTGTCTCATCTTTTTGCTCATTTTACTTTTATATCTAAGTGTCAGAGAGAGAAACACAGAAAATCAAGGTTAATAGGGACTTTACAAAGGGCCAACATATATAGAGAAAAGTATGCTAAAGAGGCAGTTATTGCTGAGTGATCCCTAACCCTCCATAGTTACTTATATTGTATTTTATTTCCTTCCACAGTGAGAAAAAGAAAGAAAAAGAGCGTGAAGAATTGTGGAAAAAATTGGAGGATCTGGAATTAAAGAGAGGTCTTAGACGTGATGGGATAATTCCAACTTAACAGAAACAAGAACAACATTACTAACCTGTGGAGTCACACATTTATGTAGTAGAAGATGGAGCAACAGTTTTCTGTATTGTGCAACTTTACAGTAGATTTCACATTTGTTTCATTATTACAACAGCACTGTATATACCTACCTGTCTCTAAGTAAAGGAAAAACAAAATAAGGACTTCAATCCAAAGTTTGGACAGTAGATGGACTTCTCAGACCTTTGCAAACATAATCATTGTTCTAACCCTCTTAAGAAAAACAAAAAACAAACAAAAAAAGCAGTCTTCAGAGATCTGTTGATGAAATTTCTGTGTTAAAAATTTCATTGTCAGGAGTTCCTTATTTATCATTAGCAGAGAGTATGATACAATTTTCAAATGTGAACAATCTTCAATTTAGCTTGTCTTTCTGCTAAGCTGTTAAATGTATTTATAGTAAATGGAGGGGGAAAACTGTCATTTCCTTATAAGTTTGTATAACATCCTCCTCTTGATAACTTGACTGTAATTTGACATCTTTTCCTTTTGCACATCTTCATGAGTTGAATGTTCACATGGAACAGGGCCATGAATTATAAAGGTCCCTGATAAAAGTTTTGTTTACTGGAGTGAACATCTTTCCAGTGACCAGGCAGTCCTGGTACTCCTTTAGTTTTAATACTAGGAGTAAACGAGAAGAGGTGATAAACATAGTAGGGAAGGGAATTTTGGATTCATTGCGTCAGTTTAAAATGAATCTTAATCAGTGTCTTGAATCCTTTGAAAACAGGCACTGGGATGTCACAGACTTCAGTACCTGGCCAGTATTAATTGTATACATCATTGAGCATACACATACACTAGAGATCTTTTTAGAAATTCCAGTAAAACATCCTTTTGGACCATTTGAAACAAGAAAGACAAACACTAAATAATACAACCATGGAATTGATCACCAGGGATTGTGAATCTAATTGGAAAAAGAGTTGAGCAAACAGCTTGGACTGTTTGGAGTTGTTGCCTTACTTTTTAATATGTATTTATAAAGTATTCCAGCAAAGAGGATGTAGCCTCTGGGGGGGAAAACCCACAAAAACATGTGACAGTGTTTTTTGTAGATTCTTGCTCTGTATCTCATCACAGTGCCAGCCCTGTTTTTAGCCAGAAAGGATTCAGGATACATATTATTATGCATTCTGAATTGGATGCATATTCCTAACTACTGTATTTGTTACCAAAAGTGGTTCTACAAATGCTACTGAAAAAAATCTGGAAATTCCTTATATCCTAAGTATTAATAATAAAGTTTAAAAATGCTTTTATATCAAAGGTGCATTCTGACCAAATTGTTTAAGTAAAAAAACAAAACAATACAAAATCTAGGGCTGTACTATAGGTATATCTTATTGGCTCTTTGCTTTGTATTTAAAAGAAGAATCTTACATCTTGGTAGATAATCTGTTGATGAAACTTGTGTACAGTATGTACTTACCCAATGCAGTTGCATTATTATGTACTGAAAGAGACATGTTTTGGGATTGATTTCTGGGATGCTTTTGCTTGTTATTGACATAACAGCAGTGAGTTGATAATCCTAAACCATCACTTCCAGCAGTATTCATGGCATAGAGCAGAGTCTGTGTTCATGTGTGAATTGTGATATAGTAGCAAACATGAACATAAGAACTGTTGTTGCTCTTAATAGAAATACAATGTAATATGGGCTTGTATATTTTCTTCCTTCCATTTAAATAGAAAGTAGAATATACAACTTTATTGTTTCCAAGAAAAAAGGAAAGCAAACAAAAAAGTCCCTGAGCTTTCTTCCCTGTGAAATGTTTCAGGATTATCAGGTCACAGATTGTGTGTAAAAGTCAGCTATAATGATGAATATTGTCATCTCAGTAACTTTGTAAAAACAAAACAGAACTTGGCATTGTGAATTTTGGAAAAGAAACAGCAGTTAAAAGTCATGCAACGCCAAACACAACATGGTTTAATGGAATGAGTAGATTTTTTTGTTTTTAAAGGGAACAGAGGAGGTTCAGTGTAAAATTGGCACAAGATGCCAAAGATGAAACAATTTAAAAGTGCTGGAGCAAAGATGCAAGTTCAGATACTAAAGATAAAAAATAAATTTGTAACAAATGATCATCTTTAGCCCTTTCAATTTTAGCCTTTTGGTTTTAACTATGCATCCCATTTATTTTTGATAGTCTAAAATTTTGTTTGCTGATAATTCATCTTTTTATAAAGAGGACATTAAAAGCATAGGTTTATGAAGTGTATCTGCCAATTGGCATGAAATGCAGTCATTTGAAATGAAAAAGACCGGGATCCTCCTTGTCCCTTGTTCTGTCCTCAGTTAAGGTGAAGTGCACACATTTTTTTCATGTCAGTTTTGTATGTTGATCATTCCAAACTGAGAAGCATAAAGCCAGATTTTAGACATAATTTAAAGAAGAAATTATAGGTCTATGTCTAAAATCCATAGGACAACTTCTGAGAAGAAGAAACACTGTCTTTTCTTTTTTTAATGGAAAGTGACAATGTGACATTTGTCATGTTGTGTCTAGTGATGCAGAGTAACCGAGGTAATCTGACTGTTGCACTATGTGACATATTTAAGGACATACTTGCTGCATTTGCAGCAGCCCTCTCTCCTCATCCCTTCCCACGATTTTGCTGTTGCTGCAACTTGACTTAATTGTGACAAATGCATCTCTGTGTTATATTTTGTTTGCTTCATAATTCCCAGAAGTATATATAAATATATTTTTAAAATAGCAGATATTGTAGTTAGTGAGTGATGATCACTCCAGCCTCATCCCTACCATATTGGTTTTGGGGATAGGATTAAGAGTGTCTTTGAAAGTAAACAAACAGACAAAACCCTGTGGTTTAGAATGATGTGGAGGCCTTAGGCTGTAGGCCTAGAACAATTCTGTGAGTGAATTGACCCATCTCAGAGTTTGAATCAAGCATGCATTCCTTATCTCATTGTGTAAGTGTCCCTGGTGGTTTGCCCTCAGTGTTTAGGTTTTGTCCTTCATTTTATTATATTTTGCTCTCGCCAACATCTTTTTTATAAAACAAAATAATAAAAAAAGAAAAAAATACCCTCGATGCCGCTGGATACTCACAAGCAGGGTCACACTCCTTCATTTTGGGCGTACTTGCCTAACAGAAGGATTTAATTTATTTTGTACCTCCTTCTATGTGTGGGACAGTCCCCAGTGCAGAGCCAGGAATTGCTTGTAATTGCACCTGCTGTACTTAAAAGTATAGCCCTAGGCTCAGTCACACTATGGAGAGGAAAAAAAAAAGTATATTTAGAGCTTTAAAAGCTTTTTTATTTTTTTGTGGGGGTTTGGGGGCGGGAAAGGGAAGATGTATGGATGTTCTTGGCAATTTTTTGAGTGTTTAGAGGTTTTTTTTTCACCCCCCTTTCTTCATTTTTCTCTTTTTGCATTTTCCTTTTAATTGAATGCACTGAGCTGACCCAGGAAATTAAAAGATTCCCTCTTTTGATGCTATTAAAAATGTTCCACACAAATGAGAACCACCTCTAACAAAAAAGGTGGTGCCAGACATGATCAGTGAGGTTTTATTTGCACATCAAGATTTTTATTTTTGTAATTTGGCTCAACTGCTTCGAGTCGAGTGAAGGAATGAGCCACAAAGGATTTTTCTAGTAGTGGATTGGCAATGCATTTTATATTCCTGAATACTTCATTTTGGGAATCTGAAAGAACTGTGCATCTTTAGAGAAAGTTGAGTAAGTTTTGATCTAGAGGAATGTTAATTTGTGCTGCTTCTTGTGCACGGTAGTGGCAGCAGTAGTATCTGTCTGGAAAATAAACATCCCATATTAATGACGTCTATGAATAGAGGTTTCCTTTTCTTCCCTTTATTATTTTTTTTAAAAAATCACTTCACTCATTGTAAATAAGTTGTAAGCCAGACCTCATGTATTTATGGGGAACTTTCAAATATAAATATTACCAATACATTTTCTGGTTGTTGTCTGATTTTTGACTGAAGTACCAAGAGAATGAGATATCCATTGCTTTAGTTTTGAAGATTTTGCTCTAGCTTCATAAGTCTTGGCATTTTAGTTTTTCATTGTTTAAGCAGGAGAGGGCAGCAAAAGTTCATTTTCCCTGTTAGAAATGCTGTGATCCATGATTGGTTATAAATGTAGGAGTGTGTGTATGTGTGTTTTGTCTTTTTTTTCTTTTCTCCAAAACAGCATCTGTTGGTAGAGGTAAAAATGAAACATTTTTGATATGAAAAGTTGCATATGAAAATTATAGACTGGCTCAACTAGATATTGAATGAAGAAGATGTCTGATCCACATCAAAGTTAAAATGCCTCAAAGCAATCTCCCAGCTCTGGCTAAAATATGCTACTTCCTTTTTAACACAAAGTGCAAGCTGAGTCTTAATCACTTGGAGTTTAAAATGTCTTTCTTTGGAAATGATTTACTTTCTTCAAAGTGGTAACAGAAACAAAAATGAAGGTGCTCCCAAAGAGAAATGTAAACCTTCCCTTTCACAGGTGTGTGAAAGGTTCTGTACTGTGGGTGCATCCTAATAAAGAAGCAATGAAGAGTTACCAGGTGCCTGGTGTTTATTTGTTTCTGGCCTCTTTGGTCCTTTTGAACCATATCAGGGACACTGTTGATTTTCTTTAAGGCAGGACTGGCTGGTGTGTTCTGACTCCTTTTTAGAAAAAAACCAGCTTTATGATTATTGTGATGATTGTTAGGTGTGTTGGAGTTGGCTGCTACTCACAGCAACCGAATTTACAGCAGAACGAAACATTGTCAGATTCTGCAAGGAGTATATAATGTGTTGGGCTTTTTTTCTCGTTATCTGTTGCTCTGTTAAAAAACAAAACAAACCCTGAAATCTTAGTGTCTTAAAGCAACTACCATCATTTACTTGGTTCATTAATCTGCAATTTGGACCGGATTTGGACTTCTCAATCATCAGCTGCTATTGCAGCTAGGACAGGAGAATTCACTTCCAACATGGCTGGCAATTTGAGCACAGGACTTAATGGTTCTCTTCACAAGGCTTCCTTTCAGCAGGTGAGTTCTGAACATTATTATTTCAAGAGACAAAGTAGAGACTAGAAACAGGCACAGCACCACTTCCATTACATTCATCTGCTCAGATTCAAGCAGAGGAGGGCATAGCCTCGCTTCTTTACTTCATGAGAAGACGACTGTCAAGTAAAGTGCACGTACTAACTGAAAAGTCAGACATTTGAATCCACCAGAAATTAACCAGAAAGGTGAAGCAGTCTGCTCTCAAAGGGATTCAAAGCCTCAGGGACAGTTCTACCCTGAGCTGTCAGGATTGACAGCAGTGGGCTTTCCCAGAGCATAGTTTCTTTTAAAGCACTAGATTTAGCTGTGATCCACTTTCTTGACCAATAGAATAGCATAAAATTTGGAT